TTGAGCAGCTCACCCTGGATGAGCCCTGAAGTGGGATGCAGATACCCACACTCTCCTGCCCATAGAGACCAAAAAACCACCCCTTGATGCTTTTAATGTTTCCCAGTCACAGCAGCTGGGTGAGACAGAGGGGCCAGTGCAGAAATCCATGGATTTCAGCCCCTGCTTTCCCTCCCAGCAGGATCTCAGCACAGACTGCAAATCTCCTGGGTGAGGATGTGCTGATCCATCAGGGCCAGAGGAGCTGGTGCACAGCTCAGCTGAGCTGCGAGTGACACAACCACGAGCTCTGCAGGCTCCAAAATGTCCTTAGTGACCCCCAGAGCAGCTTTCCCCCTGTGCCCTTCCCGATCTGTGCTAACGCGGATGGAAATGGCTTTGGGAGATGCCTCAGCAATTAGCACTGAGCTCGCAGGAGGAGGCAGAGACAAAGCCTTTGTCTGGTGTCAAACGGTGTTTTCGTGGCACTGCCACAGCCTCATCCAGCCCCGGGCTGGAATAATCCACTCCTCTATGAGCTGCCTGGAAAATAGGAATTGCACTCCCTTTTGTTCATCATTATCAGGCACTTAGAGGCACCGAACCTGGCACTTGTTCACATCGATTTCTGAGAGGAGCCAGAGCCATTCCCATCCCTTGCTGCTCCAATTCCTCAGTGGACAATCAGGATGTAGTGAATGAAACTTTTATAAGGGCTTTAAACCATTGGCTTTACCATCAAAGCAACCAACCATCCCTCTCACAGTTGTCTCCCCTGAGACATCCTGCTCTGAAAGGCTCTTCAGAGACAGATGGAACAAAACCCTGAAAGGCTCTTCAGAGACAGATGGAAACAAAAAACACCAGTTCTTCCCCAAAGAAATCAGATGTTGAAGTTCATCTCAAAAGTTAACATCAAGATGCAGAAGACTATCCAGATGTTTAGCCATGAATCCCTCAGAGGTTTAAGCCTGATTTCAACCCATTTTCCCATCAAGCTGACTAACCCCCTGGACACTGGAGCACACACCTGAGCTAGGGGACAACACACCTGCCTATAGCACAACCACTGCTGGGCATAATCCTGAACTCACTCAACAAGTGTCTGTTCAGCATCTCAGGTGCTGGGGCTGCTGTCCATGGGCTCTTCAAACCCACCCAGGGCAGGTAGGGACAGCACAGCTCAGTGCTCTGTGCTGTCAGGTGCAGAATACATCCCCCAGACCTGATGCCACATGTTCCTGCACCGACTCAGCTGCTGAGAGCAGGTCTGAGCTGCCTGCTCTGACCCAGCCACCCCCCAGGGCAGGCAGAACGCTGTGTGCTGCTGCTGTACTTTATCACCTTCTCCTCAGACACCTCACCCTGCCAGAGGATTAACGAGCATTAACTGCCTTCCCATCCCGCTGCTCTGCCTGCCAGGGGCTCTGGAGAGAGCAGTTTGGGGATTAATACCCTCGTCCTACCCAAAGCACAGGGAGGGGGTGGTGGGTGCTGATGGGGATCATCATACCTGTGCAAACCCTGTGCCCATTGCCAAACAAAGCCTTGGCAGAGCAGGTTGGTGGGGCAAGGAAGGATTCACCTCTCACCCAACCCACTGCTGTTATCCAAAGGGCTGCAACTGCCCCAGGAATTCCCACCAGGAATTCTGTCAGCTCCCCCAGGTCACCACCAGAACAAACCTGGGGTAGCATCCCAGAGCTGGGATGTAAATCTGGGATTTCCACCCTGGCAATTCCTGCAACAACAGGTTCATCAAAGCACTGCAATGACCCAGAGATGCCCAGGGACCAAGAGCCAAACACAGCCAATGTCCTGGTGCTACAGCTCCATCAGCACTCCCAGGATCTTCTGCCCACAGCGTTTGATTAGAGCAGACAGCACACAGAGCTTTGTGCTTCTCACAGCACAGGGAGGAGACAGCCCATTAGGGCTTCGTTTCCAAGGAGATTTTCACACACTAAGATGGGGAGAAAAAAAAACCCACCTTCAACACGTTTCCTCCAAGGAGATTTTCACACACTAAGATGCGGAGAAAAAAAACCCACCTTCAACACGTTTCATGTGAGCTGAAGGTAGTAATTCCACTGGCACTTCTTAGCTGTTGAGCATGTCGAGCTAAACTACTAGTGAAACTACAATAAGGAGTGTTAATTGGGCTTGGTTTGTGCTGTTCTCCACAGAAAAGGTAGCAAGATGCTCAAACAGCTGAGGAGAAGCAGCACATCTAATTGACCAAGCCTTGAATCTGTGTACTCATCTCTCAGCACCCTTAGCTAGAGAGTCCAAGTGATTTTAGGGTGATAATGTCAGGGCAGGTAAGAAATCCCTTTTTAAAGTGTTTTAATGGAGCAAACACAAGTGACCTCAGTGTTGGTCACCCAGAGGGAAATGGTCTCCCCAATGCAGCTGCACAAGCCCAGCCAAGTTTCCCTCTGCTTGGGCATAACCTGTGTCTGAGCATCAAACAGATGAGAACAACCTTAAATCACAAAGCCCTGAACTTCCCCGTGGCAGGGCCAGCACAGATCTCTGCAGACATTTTCCCTAGGATTCATCATTTTCTAATAGATTGTCCTGCAGCAGCTGCTCCTCTCCTTTCACAGCTCTGATTGATGCCTCTCCTACCTGGAGGGCTCTGAATAACCACAGCCTTTCCATCAGGCAAGGAGAGGAACAGGAGACAAAGCAGCTCTGAGGTCATGGGAAGGTTCTTACTCATTTCCCCCACCCTGTATTGAGATTTTCAATTAGATGTGTTTTAAATCCTGTGTCCTCCTTTGTCTGCACGAAAGGTTGGGAGGAAGGGGAAGAGGAGCACATCCCTCCCACCCCAGAGCTCAGATCCAGCATCCCAGTGGGATCCCAGTAGGACTATTCCAGCCCCAGTTCCAGCTGCAGGTGCTGGAAGGTGATGTGAGCTGTAAGTGCTGATGCCTGAAGCATCCCAAGCACCTACCCTGGACCAGCTCTGCTCACATAAACCCATCCCCACCCTCAGCACCAGAGCCTGGGAATTATCCCTGAACCACCACAAATTTCCTAGCAAGGCTTTTATTAGACATATACCTATTAAACAGGACACAAACCAACTCATCTCTGCAGGCTGTAGGGCCTGAAAATCCCATGCACAGCTCAAACCACCACTGCATAAAGCAAATGACAGGACCTAAATCCCTTTCCCAGCTTTGCCACATCATCACTGCTGCCTGGGTGGGAATTCTGCCCCCAGTGAATCCTCCTGTCCCTCCTCTGTCTGTCTGTCCACACCTAACAGACACAGATTTCCCACCCCCCAGCAGCCTGTCAGCAGAGGACAGGGAAAAGCCATTTGTTTCCAGCCTTGAAATGTAATTTGGGGTTGTTTTATTATTGATTTTAGGGTTGTAAAGGCTCAGGTCGTGTCTGGGTTTTAAATGCTAATGATGGTAACAGCGAAAGGAGATGAGGAAATTGAAGCATTTCACAGCTACCAAAGTCTTTAAACACCCCTGACTGTACAAGGAAACCAACAGGGAGAAGGTTAGGATGATAAACAAGTAATTTGCTATCTCAGAGGCTCCTGTAGCTCCAATTTTCCTCTGGCAGTTGCCACTACTTAAGCAGATTTCCACACGTGTGGGTCAAATGAAAAGACACAGCAGAACAACAAGGAAAAAGTAAACTCTAATAGAGTTATCAGCAGCAATAACAGCCTAGGATTGGATTTATTTCCTTCAACAGGAACCTCCTGGTGCTCTTCAGCAGCCTGTGAGACAGGTCTGGATTCACTGGGACTGTGCCAGGGAGAGGAACCAGCTCCAAGCTCCACTGGTGTGGATAGACTTCTCTGTGGGGTTTGGGGAGCACCTGTGCTTGGGTTTGGGAGACTTGGGGTGTTTGGCAGAGCAGGGACATCCTTTGTTACTCTGCTTGCCAATTTTTACAGCTTCACACACGGATTTTCCATTCTCTACCCTTCTCTCTGATTATCTGTCTCTGCCCATTTCTGCTCTTCTCCTACCTTCTCTGACCTTCTCTTTTGCCCTGTTCCTTTGCTCTTCTCTCTCCTTCATCTCTGCCCATCTTCTCTGCCTCTTGTCTGCCCAACTCTGTCAGCCTGTCTTGATCCTTCTCTGACCTTCTTTACTTTCTCCCACCTTCTCCACACAGCCAAGGGCAGAGATTCAGGAGGGGCTGACTAGAAGGGACAGCAAGTTATTCCCAACTCTGATTTGCTGCAGAAGAGTGGACACAGGGAACAAGGATGGAAGCACAGGAGGATTCCCAACCTTTGGTTCATGCCCAGAAATCCCATTTGGAGAAGCCCCAGGGCTGGAGAGAGCAGCAGCAGGGGAAGGAGCACTCACCTGCCTGGTGCAGCATCCTGCAGTGCTCAGCAGCAGAGTCGTGGTGGTGTGGCCAGCGGGGAGGGACCTGCCAGGGTATAAAACCCAGAGCTGGGGACGATGCTCACACACACAGAGAGACCGAGAGCCACCGCTGGGGGACAGTCTCCTGCTTCCCATGGAGACCTGGGCTGGGATATGCTCCCCTGGCTGCTGTTCTTGGAGTGAAAAGCCCAAAGGGATGCAGCATCTCTAGCGCTTTTTTTTCTGCTGCTCTTACTACACGGACAAGCAGCACAGAGAACTTTCCTTTCCCCTTCGATTTGCTGCCACAGGAGGGAAAAGGGGATGATGCAGAAAATAAGCAGCCCAGGGACAAAGAGGGATTTGGGAATGTTTTAGAGGAGAGAAATATGGACTAACCAGGTGCTCTTGCACCTCTTTGCTCTGCAGGGATATTTTCCCAGAGCAGCCCAGGCAGAGAGGGAATTGCAGCTGCTCAGCACAGGGTTGGTGTTGTGCTGAGGAGGTGACAACCTGCCCTGGTGTTGGGGACAGCTGGCACAGGCACGTCCAGCCCTCCTGACTGTGGGCAGAGGCAGCACCAACCCTGGGGGACAGGGAAGGGGCTACGAAGCATTGGAGAGGAGCATCAGAGCTGCTTGTCCTCCTGCAGAGCTTCCCACGGGGATGGAGTCAGGCTGGAACAGCTGGAACAGCTGGAACAACTCTCATCCCAGCCAGTCTGGGCACGGCCAAGGGCTGAGCCCAGCAGGGAACACCAACCTGACGCTGCTGCACACCCGGGATGAGGAGCTGGCCAAGGCAGAGGTTGGGGTGTTGGCCACCATCCTGGTGATAGCCACCCTGGGCAATGTTGGGGTGCTGCTGGCCATGTACCGCCTGAGGAAGAAGCTGAGCAGGATGCATCTCTTCATCCTCCACCTGGGGCTGAGCGACCTGGGCGTCGCGCTCTGCCAGGTGCTGCCACAGATGATCTGGAAGGTGACCTATCGTTTCTTGGGGCCAGACCCACTCTGCAGGGCTGTCAAGTACCTGCAGGTGCTGAGCATGTTTGCCTCCACCTACATGCTGCTGGTGCTGACCCTGGATCGCTACCTGGCCGTGTGCCACCCGCTGCACACCCTGCAGCAGCCCAGTCGCCAGGCCCACGTCATGATCGGGGCCACCTGGCTGCTCAGCTCCCTCCTCAGCCTGCCCCAGATCTTCATCTTCTCCCTCAGGGAGGTACGACAGGGCTCAGGGGTGCTGGACTGCTGGGCAGACTTCAGGTATCCATGGGGAGCTCGAGCCTACATCACCTGGACCACGCTGGTCATCTTCATCCTGCCCGTCGGCATCCTCACCGTCTGCTACAGCCTCATCTGCTATGAGATCTGCAAGAACCTCAAGGGCAAGACCCAGAGTGGTGCCCCCAGCACGGGGGGGCTCCCAGCTGCTGTCCCTCCTGCTCCTTGCCCCTCGGAGAGGAGCCCCAGTGGGCAGCCCTCGCGCGTGAGCAGCGTGCGCACCATCTCCAGGGCCAAGATCCGCACGGTCAAGATGACCTTTGTCATCGTGGCAGCTTATGTCACCTGCTGGGCACCCTTCTTCAGCATGCAGATGTGGTCAGTGTGGGATGAGGATGCTCCTGATGATGGTGAGTGGCACTGGGGATGGGGGAGATGCACCCGGAGGGAGCACAGAGGGCACTCGGGGACTCTCTGTGCTGTTAACACACAAGAACTGCCTGTTATTTAGTCATTTTTAAAGCTCCTAGGCAAAGCTACAGATTTGCTCCCTAGTAATACTCGTAGAAAACTGTTTGCAGAGTCGGTTCCCTCATTTCACCAGAAAAATATACAGAAAGGTGATGATTTCTGGCCATAACCCACAGGGATGTGTGAAGATGTGTGAACACCTTTGCCATGTGTCTCTTCCCTCACATGAAGTTTTAGGAGTGGATTTCTCATTTCATAGGTTGATTTTTTTCTGTAAGTTTTCCAGTAGCTTTCCTAGCATGTTCATGGGTAGAAGAAACTTTATCTAAGACTGGAAGTCCTCTGGGAGGTGCTTTGGATAGCAAATAGGCTGAAGAAAAGTCCAAAAGCTGTTGGCTCTCACCTCCCAGAACACTCCCTGAGGTTCCAGCACATCTCCACTGCAGTACATCACCCACCTGAATCCTCCACCCAGGGCAGAGCCTACACACTGACCTCCTACCCAAAGAAATGTGGGATGGGAATGGGATAAAGGTCAAGTGTCCAAGCCCAAGAGAACCCCCAGGTCCTGCCCGTTGCCCACTGTGACCTGCTCAGCCCCTGTGGGTGCTTCAGCTCTCTCCCTTGCCTTCCCAGACTCCACCAACGTGGCTTTCAGCATCACCATGCTGCTGGCTAGTCTCAGCAGCTGCTGCAACCCTTGGATCTACATGTTCTTCAGTGGGCACCTGCTCCAGGATGCTGCTCGCTGCCTGTCCTGCTGGGGCAGCCCCAGGCTGAGGAGACCTGCATCCACAGGGAGCCTGTGCAGCAGGAAAACCACCATCCTGAGCCACAGCCACCACAGCAGCCCTGCTGGGCTCCCCCTGCACGGGGACAGTGCCAAGGACCTGTACCCACCCTGCGAGGAGGGGGTGACAGAGTCGGGCACACTCTAGGCTGCACTGGCAGCTGCAGCAGATGTGACACCATGAGCTCTGTCACTGCAGAGGTTTGGCTCTCCTCACCTGGTAGCATCTCTTTTTGCAGAGCTCTGCATGTTTAACCCAGAAAGCATCACTGTCCATCTTATCCTTACTGCTGTGAGCACCACAGGGATGGGCAGAGCCTCACCAGCCACTGCCTGACCACAGCATCCACCTCCCCAAGCCTCTGACTGCTCTCCTCCCGGAGGAGGATGCTGCATCTTCCAGAAAGAGGATCTAGAGGATGATGCACCAGCAAAAAAAAAAATCTTCCTGGAGGGCCTGGAGCTTTGTGTGTTTCACAGATGCCAGCAAAGCAGCCTGAGCACGGCAGGAGGCAACGTGGCTCCATCTGCTCGAGAGCTCCCTGCAAGCAACTTACTCATCTCACACCCTCAGGGCTTTGCTGGCAGAGCAGACAACCAGGGCACAGCTCTCCCACACCGCAGGGCACAGCACAGAGGGTTCCTCTGGAGCTCCTCTCCACCTCCCTGGGGCCAGGGATGGGACTGGGGCAAAGCCACAGGGCAGACACATCCTCTGCTGCTCATCGTGCATCACACTGCACAGTGTGAGTGCCCAAAATGCAGCAGTGACACCCCCAAATTGCTGCTCAGAGCTGCCCTGGCCCTGCTCCAGCAGCTCCTGCCTCCCTCTGTGCCTCAGCACTTCCCATCAAGTGTGTCCCAACCCCCATATGGGGCTGCTCCTGCTATTCAACAGCTGCTGCATCCCACTGCAGAGCTGCTCTCCTGCTGCTTTTCTCGATTTAGTAGGAATCAGAGTGCCCAAACCACTCAGGGCTGCAGGGGAGCTGGGAGGAGAGGTGGCCAGGAGGGACCCAAGCCCTTGCAGTCCCAGCCTGGCCCCTGCCTATCTCCCAGAAGCTGTTTTTGTGGAAGAATAAAGCATGGATGAGACAGGAAACAGCATCTATTTGCTCTGGAGTGGAGCTCAGAAGCTGCTGCTGGGGATGTAGGAGTGTCCCAGTGAAGGCACCAATTCCCTGCCAGCAATGTGCATTATGCCTTCTATTATCACAGGCTAAATCTGTAAAAATAAGGCATTGAGAGTAAAATACTTTGAAATCTTACATCATTTTCACTTTTTAATCATCAGGCATTTGGGTCAGTCCTCCCAGAAATTCCCCCTAGCTGATTTTGGCCTCACCTCCAGTTCCAGAATCACATCTCTCCTGCCCTTTCCAAGGTTTCCCAGAGATGGTTTGGGGCTTTGAATATTTTCCTTCATGTGCCCTTCAAGCTGGGTCAGATCTGCACAATGAGGTCATAAAAGCAGGAGAGCCTGACCCTCCCTGCCATGATCAATACCCAATCAATTGTCTCACAACCTTTCATTAAAGCACATCACTGTGGAGCTGGTTGAACACACACTTGGGGCAGCTCCATCCATGAGGAAGAGGAGCTCTGTTGGGGGCAGCAGCTCCATCCCCCCAACAGAGCTCCCACCTCCACAGTTCTCCTTTCCCAAGCACTTTGGAAGTTTATTTTTTGGGAAAAAATCTCAAGTAACCAAATGCAGAATGAGGGGAAGGAACTGATTCTGTTTGCTGTTGAGGAGCAAGGACATCACCCAGAGGGACAGGCCAATCCCAGCACCTGCATCTGGTGCAAGGACAAAGCAGGAAAAGGATAAGGTGGGAGACAGGGAGTATTATCCCTCCCTGAAAGACACAGAGGGTTTTCACTTGCTGTGCTCACTTGGAGACCTGTGGTCCTGTTCTGTGCCTGTCAAAACGCAGCAGCACCAGCAGCTCCTTGGGGAGAAGGGAGAGAAATCCCTGGGAGCTCCTCAGCTGTTTGCCAGGTCCCCAGGTGATCCATCCTCCTGTCCTGCTCCTGACATCCCTCTCCATCCATGGCCAGGGCTCACCCCAACCCCATCAGAAGCTCTGAGAGCAACAGGGAATATTTGGAGTGTTAAAGGGATGTCAGGGAGGGCAACGGATCTAGGCTTGTTGGGTGGTCAGGGCAAAGCTGGTGGAGAAATTGTATTTAGAAGGATTTTATGAGGGTGATCAGCAAAGCAAAGAGGAGAGCGCAGCCAATCTGAGGGGATATTTTGAGGCTCACTGCATTTCCCCTCCCCAAACTCCATCCCAGTTTGAGAGGCAGGAAGGGATGTTTCATTTGCTTTCAGAAAACGAGCAAAAAGGAGCAATCACACAACATTGCAGAGCACATTTCAGCCTGGGTAGGAGGAAAATTCCCTGCATCACCCTACGCTCTCAGCCCTCAGGAACAGTGATGCCTTGAAGGGAAATACCAAGCAAATTGTGTTCCTTGTGGTGCAAGGAGTAAGAGCTGCAGGCACCAGGCTGTGCCAGGCACTGACCGAGGGGGAGAGCCCCAGTTTGCAGCTGCTGAGAGCTCCAGGCATCTCCCCATCCCGGGCAGAGTGTGACCAGCAGCATCTTGATGTCACAGCTTCACCTCGGTGTACTCAACTGACTTGGATGTCCCAGGGCTGGGGCAGGGCCAGAGATGGGCTTTCTTCTTCTTTGGGTCCACATTGACATAGTCCAGCCCAGATTTCATGTTCTCATAGTCCCTAATGGAGCCTGAATTCCCACGGCCTTTCGCCTGGAAGATGAGGGATGTGTAGTTGAGGTTTTCTTCTGAGCCAGGGCCCTGTAGAAGCAGATAGGAACCCTAGGTCAGGCACCAGCACCCACCCAAGGTGCCTTTGCCCTTGAGCTCAGTGAAGGTGTGACCCAGTCACAGAATTCCAGGATGGTTTGGGTTGGGAAGACCTCAAGGATCATCTCATCCCACCCTTGCTATGGGCAGGGACACCTTCCACCAGCCCAGGGTGCTCCAATTCCCATCCAACCTGACCTGGAACACTCCCAGGGATGGAGCAGCCACAGCTTCTCTGGGCAACCTGTGCCAGAGCCTCAGCACCTCCCAGGGAGGAATTCCTTCCTAATGTGCCTAGTTGTGCCCAGGGATCTCCCCTGGCCCCTGGTGATCCCTCTACACAGGCAGAGGACAACAACCCCCCAAATTCACTGCTGGAATTAGAACACATTTTCCCTCCCAGTGCTGCTCTGGTTGTCTCTAGCTGGACACTGCCAGCACATCCAAGCTGGGCTGGGGGTGTTTGGGCAGAGACTGTGCCCGTGGTTGTACCTGTGGGTGGGAAGGGCTCTCAGATGAGTCCTCCGAAGTCTCCGAAGATGTGTCACTGCTCCCTTAAAAACAGCAAACATTACCTCCAGCACTACCCAGGGGGTTAAAGGAGTGAAAACAGAAAATCCAAAGAGGTCAGTGTGATCCCTCCCCACTTCACCCCTGGCAGGGAAAGCCCAAGGAGACAGGAGGCAACTGGAATGGCAAGTTGCACTGCCCTTTGCTCCTGTGGCCACTCTGGGGTCTTCACTGCTGGGTGAGGAGGAGAGCAGTGCACAAATACCATACCAAAACTTCCCATCCCTGTGCCAGGACCAAGCTGTGTTGCTGCAGGACTCTCTTACCTGCATAGGCTGTTTGTTGTGCCCCATCCCCTCTGGCTGCCGAGGCTGGAGGAGGCACTGGGGGCTGTGCTGCAGAGCTGCTGTTCACCTGCTTCCCGCAGGAATGTTGGGCTGGAAGCAAGAGGAGAGTGAGCACCTTGCCCAGCTGTGCCCTCTCTGAAGAGGACAACTCCAAGCAAGAGCAAGGAACCCAGCAGGGAATGCAGACAAGGCACTACAGTACCTATTTTTCTGCTGAGTGTGATGTAAAGGGTCAGCAAGAGGAGAGAGTGCAGGACCAAAGTGACAGCTGAGATGGCAACAAGCATCCACCTGGACAGGAGAAAAATGGTTTGTCTAACTGAAATTTCCAAGTTCTTCTAAATCTCTCAGCTACAATTTGACTGCTGACTCTTCAAATCAGCTTTGCTGGTACAGTTTTGGGGTTTGCTTGTTGTCCTTAAAGCAATTTGCCCAAAAATCTGGGGCTTAGCTTTCAAGAGTGAGTGCATTTCTGGGTGCCCAGGGGGTTTTCCAAAGCCTCATTGCCAGTGGGAAGGATGCACATGAGGGAAGAGAGAAGTTACAGATACCATAGAACTAGAGAGTGGTTTGGGTTGGAAAGGACCTTTGAAGGTCATCTAGTCCAACTCCCTGCAACGAGAGGGACATCTTCAGCTAGACTTAGCCCTGAACACTTCCAGGGATACTGAAATCATCACAGAGATGCCTGTGAAGGGTTCTGGACCCCAGGGTGTTGTACTCACCACTCACAGGTGCTCATCCTCCTGGTGAGGTGTCTCCAAGGTCTCGGGAGGGATGCAGAGATGCAGCTAGACCTGGTGGCAACCAACCAAAATGGTCCCAGTTAGCTTCATGCTGCTCCTCATCTGCTGAAGATCAGGCTCCACGCTTGAAAGCAGTGGTTGGACATCATAGATGCAAAATAAAGGTCCCCCCAACCCTTCCCCTGTGTGAGTCCTCCTTGTTCACAGCCTCTCCCAGCCACAGGCTCTCCCTGCCCTTATCACTGAGCTTAATGCTTTTACACATCTCTGCCTGAGACTTGACAGGAGCTTCTGGGCTCTACCATAGCACTGAGAGTGATAAGAATTGAAATTTATTCTTCTTGCTTTAATCCTCTCTCACGGTTCTTTCTTTCTTTTCCGTTCTTTAATCCACACACACAAAAAAAAAGATTTGATAACTATAATCTGGGGGGAAAAAAAAAAGCTATTGAAGGAAGTAACTAAAAGAAGGTTATGGGTTGGTGTGAGGCTCCTGCATCAGTCAGGGTCCAGATAGAAATATCAGGGGCCCCTCAACACCTTGGGTTAAATTCTAGGGGAGCACTTCAATCCTGTTTGAAGTTAAGGAGGTTTAAGGCAGAAAGTCAGAAAACACAAACACCTGAGCTGAGCCCTTTGGCTTGGGATTTCTGGCCATAACACTCAAGAGATTTGCAATAAAGGACAGGAATCAGGACATTCATTTTAGGAGCTTTTACTTGCAGAAAAGCACTTTGAATTTTCACTCAGTGCCTTTATACTTACTATTCATAAATGGCTAACAGGGAGAGATCTGCAGATAAAGCTTTGATATGGTGATTAAAGGAGCCGTGATAACATGATTGATAGGCTGAAAGCTTGATTGATAGCTAGAGCAAAGGCATTATCCAGCCCATGGATCAGGTTCTATAATTTCCTCTATGACACATTTCTAAGCATAATTCATCAAAAGCTTTTCTGGTGCCCTCACCAATCTCCTTGGAAATTCCACTTACCCAAACAGTTTGGCCAAGCTAAAAGTTCATTCCTTGCAGGAATTTTTTCCCCCTCCCTCCCTGAACTGATCTGTCCCTAAATATCCTTCTCAAGGGACTGTCATTCTCAAAGGCTCATTTCCTACTGTTGGGGCAGGAGATGCTGCTGCAGCAGATAACGATCTGACAAATGAGCTGTTCAGAAGGAAATTGCAAAATAAGACCCAAACTCAACTCTCAGTAGCAGCAGCTTCTGTGCTGAGATGGGTATGGGGAGATCGAAGAGCTGATATGCACATGCTTATCAAAATATCTATTTTGAGAGAGCAACCAGTGAGAGCCTTGGCAGCACAAGTACTTTTTTAGATCTATCAGGCAACTCCTGTGAGCCTCCCACCCTCCAGCCCCCCAGGACATTAACCCTTTCTCAAGCAAGAGGCTGTGTTGAAATCAAGGCTTACACAGAGCTGTTCCTCAGCTGGTTACCCAAGGGTCAACCCAAGATGACCAACCCAAGACGACCAACCCAAGACGACCAACCCAAGACGACCAACCCAAGACCCAACTCAAGCTAAAGGTAAGCAAAACCACCAGAATGCCTTGAATTCTATTAAATCCATTGGACTCAGGCCTTGCTGGTCCAGGTTAAGGCTGAAGCTCAGGCAGTGACACATTCCTGCAGGGACCCCTTGGATACAAAACACACAACCCTCCTCTCCTCCCAGTGTTCCACCCCTCTGCTCTCCACATCCACCACCCATCGGACTGCCAGACCCAATGGTGTTTTACCTGGGGGACCAGAGCTTTCTACAGCTTCTCTTTCCTGCAGGGCTGAGGCTGCTGGAGCCCTGGAGGCAGCAGAGCCGGGGCCGTTGCAGCAGTATTTTCGGTGCAGCCGCAGTGTCCGGCGAGCGGCACTCGGTGCCGGATGCGGTCGCACTCTCCCCCCATGGTGATGGCAGGAACGAGCCCACGTCAGGTTCCATGACGCTTCCCCTCTGTCAGCTGCCTCATTTAAATACATTTGGGTGTTTCTCTGCTGCTCTGCAGCCACTTTGCTCCAGGGCTGAGGACCCTGCACCCTTCGGCCAGTTCTCAGTCTTGCTCCGTCTTCCGTCGGCTTCGTGCTAAAAGGCACCTGAGCTTTCTTGGAGCTCAGCCCCCAGCAACTCAGCTGCCACTGAAAAGTGCTCTGGGTGCTTCCAAGTAAATGTATTCCATGAGGATAGAACATTTCACATCATAAGGAACGTGGTCCCAGAGCCAGGCACAGCACGAGGTCTCCTGGGAGCGGAAGGGCCTTCACCTTCCCACGCTCTGGGAAAATGTTCTGGTCACTAGTACCTTGCAGCATCACTGAATAATGGTGGGATGCACCAGTTCTTGCTGTGGGATACTGACGGGATGCACCAGTTCTTGTTGTGAGATACTGGTGGGATGCAACCCCATCCTACTGGTGGGATGCACCAGTTCTTGCTATGGGATACTGGTGGGATGCACCAGTTCTTGTTGTGGGATACTGGTGGGATGCAGCCCCATCCTTGTTCATTTCCAGCAGATTTGGAGAGATCTGGGTCACTGCTCCATAGGAACTGATGGTTTTGCAGCTCACTCTGGGCCAACATTTTGGGGCTGGAGATGCCCTGCAGCAGTTTGGCCTCTCCCCTGCTCCTTCCCTGGCAGGAGAAGGGCAGGAAGGGAGAGACTTCCTTCTCATGGGGTTCCTGACTCATAGGGACAGTGTCCACAGGGAGCAAGAGATCTTCTTTCTCAGGAAGTTCCTGACTGATGGGGCTAGTGTCCAAGGAGAGCAAGAGACTCTCTTTCTCCTGGTGCCCCTGACCATGGGGACAGTGCCTGCTGGCACTTAAACATCCCCATCACTCCCACAGCAATCCTGTCCCAAGGAGATAACATCCCAAAATCCCACTGAATCTCCCTGGACTATCAAAGGCAAAGAGAAGAACAACTCCCAAGAAGCACAACATACCTCAGGCACCATCATGGTTCACCCCCAGGAGCTGCATCACAAGTTGGGATCCTCTGCCAGGTCCCTGCTGTGGGGCAGTTGCTTCCCACATTCCCCTCCATCCCACAGATCCCACCCCATCCATCAGCTCCATCCCCAGGGGATGTTGCCCTGCTCTACCCACAGCTGCTGTGCCACAGAATAATACTTCACTGAAACCTGCTTGTTTGGGGGTTTTTAAGGGAGAGTTTGCCATTGCAGAGCTTCAGCCTCTCAAGTGCTCAGTGATAGATAAGCAGATTAACAGGTGGGAGAAGGGTTTGATAAAAGGGTAAAAAATAGGCTCTTTGAGAAAACACTGCTTGGGTGTGATCTGATCAGTCAGAGCTCGTTGTGGAAGTGGCTGCACTGGAGGAAATATATAAGAAGAAACACAGATGACATATTTTTAGCCTGAAAGCAGGTTGGGTTTTTCATTTTTTTGGTATGAGTAAAACACCACAGACTGAGCCAGGGACACCACAACCATGAGTTATCCATCATCCCTGGCATGAGTCACAGCTGGAGTCACTTCTCCTCACATTCCCACAGAACATTAAGGCTTTTCCTGCAAGGAGATGGATTCAAAGGCCTTCAGTCTTACCTGTAGTTCTGCATGTTCAGCTCCATCACCTCAGGAGGTGCTTTGTGGGCAGTGTGGATGCCCCAGGAGCACACAGGGATGGGCAGTGCCAGGCTGACCCTGCCAGGCTGAGGGATATGTTGAAAATGAGGCATTTCTCCCATCCCCATAACCAGTGTATCCCATAGATACAGCTCAAACTATGCCCGAAGCAAAGCCTTTCCCTCCACAATGCTCTGTATTTTCATCCTCAAAAAAAAAAGAGAAAAAAATAATTTGTCCCACATGAACCAAAAATGTTGACCTACCTTTCACAATTTACCTTTTAAAATTACTTCTGGAACAACGAAACAAGTTGAAATTTGCTTCACTTCTACATTTGCCACCTTAAAGCTTTGGCTCCTTTATTACTTTCATCTCCACATTTTGAGGCTGAATCCACAGTCAGGAGTTGGCAGATGATGATGATCCCATTG